GCCACGGCGGAATTTGCATTATGAGTAAGGAATATGCCACGTCGGATGCAAGAATTTGGTGGAATTTACGTTGATGATTGAAGGCTTGTTAATAACATACCGTCTAACACCTTTTCTCAGACGTTGTTTTCCCGCACTGAGTTTCTCTACATTTGTGCTGCTTTCAAATGTGCGACCAAACCAAGTTCATGCTTGAAATTTATCTTGTGATACATCTACTTCTGCGCAGCAAATCTCTTCCCTTCCATGTGATACTTGTACTTGTTCACAGCAGTCGTTTTCCCCCCTTAAACTGATAAGATACAGTCGGGAGTCATTGAAACCCCGCGAGCATTCAAGGGCTCCACCGAGTCGACTGAATGAAAACCACAATGATTACAACTGTCTTACCTATCTTGCAAGGATGCACTGCCATCGTGTTTTGCGCTGCAGTTTCGTCGGCTTGTAAGCCCGGCAAAAGGGTGGGGAGGTAATTTGAAAGTGAAACGGTTGCCCTCCGCGCCCGGCCGCCATGTTGGACGGGATCCTTTCATCTTGCGTAACCAGCTCCATCAAGTGAAGGAAGATCATGAGCCACCGCCACAGTTCCACATATGATACCCTCTCAGCATTTGTATCGTGGGTGGAGGGTGACTGTCTTTTTTAGGGGTAGCAATTGCTAGGATATGGTTGTTGAAGCAACACCACTTCTGGCCCACGGCGTCCCACCCATAACGTCTGCAACCATGATCCTCTTTCTCTTATGTCCATTTTCCCCCCTGGCCGTCGCAAAATTTACGTCACTTATTACAGGTTGACATGTATGGCTCCAAAATGTCAGATAGTACATTCAACGCGTCCTCCTCTGTGCAGATGCCTCCCTCTGGAACCCATACCGAGTGGACTGCCGATAAGTGTTATCAGGACACCATGGACATACCCACCGTTTTACCTATGGCACATCTTAGACCACGAGTCTCAAATACAGCCGCAATCACCGCAGGAATGGCACCTCCTCCTGTGGCACCTAGTCTCGCACCAAGGCGAACGTCCCCATTACTTATCAGCGCGTATGCCCGTATGCGTAAAAGCGTGAGTGAAGGATGCATGGCGGCAAAGATAAGCGGCCCTTCTTCTCACATCACGCATGACATCCGTCGCCGCATTCGGCACCAGCAGCACCATCCTTATCCTTCGTCCCCACCTCCTACTTCTTGTGGGATCGAGAAAGGGGACAGGCCGATACTGGAAGCGGGGAGGCCGTGCTCCAAGGGGCCCTGCGAATCCATGAAAGACCAGCGTCACGCGAACCACATGTACACATACGGTTCCAGCTTGTCAATTCTTGGGGCCACATCCACAGGACTGCCCGCGTCGCTGAGCCTGGGCGTCAGGCACGACGCAGGAGGGGCGCGGCCAAGCCACGAAGGCATCCCCAGGAGTCCGAAGCGGCCTGCCTCGACAGAGAGACAACACGCCGAAGCAAGCCACGCCGAAGAAGGGTCCTCACAAATGAACGAGACTACGCATATGCAAGACGACGGGGCTGCCTCAACCCTAAGTCACCCGATTCAACCGGCAGCGCACGGAGGGGGAGATATGTGCCCCTCCGACCACGACAGGCAGGGAGGGGCAATCGATGTCCGAGGAACATGCACGCACACGGCAGCCCATCTATTCGCGGCGGCTTCCAAGTTTGCTGCCGCCAAGGCGGCCCGACGGGTGCTTTTTACGGGGGACGTAAGGTGGGGAGGCTTTTCCTTCACGATCCCCCCCCGCCCAGCGCCCGCCCAAGCAGAGATGTCCGCCTCTCTAAGCGGACAGGCCAGTGGAGCTTGCACACTTCCAGGCTTAAAGCCCAACCATCCGAACTGGCAGAACCAGGACAGTTTTTTCCTGCTGGAAGTGGGGCAGGAGGCGTCCCGGCGGGCGGCAGGGGCGGAAGTCCCTGCCTGTCCTGTGAAGCCCGCCTCGGTCGCCTCCCTGTACGCCGTCCTCGACGGCCACGGCGAGCAAGGACACCTAGTCAGTCAATTTGTGCGGCACCATCTTCCCAGTCACCTCCGAAACACGGGCTACGATGTCCTTGAGGCCTTTTCCATCATGCAACAAGAACTGGCTAGCTGCCCTTCCCTGAAAGTCGCCTGCTCGGGCTGCACCTGTGTGTTGGTGCTGGCGCGCGTGACCGGGGAAGGAGAAGGGGAGGAGGGAATGCGGCTGACCGTGGCGAATCTTGGAGATTCACGTTGTGTGCTGGGACGGCGGAGACGGTCCCGACCGGGTACAGGCCCCGGGAGGAGTGACGCTGGACAAGGGGAAGAGAGTGTCTTGGGTGTCGGTGCGCACCTTCTAGGAAAGCCTTTGGATAGCCCCCTCCCCCAACACACTCCCCATTCCCAGCCCGACGGCAGGAGAAGCGGCGGGTCCAGGAGAAGGGCCTGTCCACACGTGCGTGCCGTGCCCCTCACCCAGGACCATAAGCCCGACCGCCCCGACGAATTCCGACGCATTCTCGCCGCGGGGGGGCAGGTCGGGTATCGGCAATACACCTCTCCCCATCCCTCCCCGGGCCCCTCCCACCACCGTCACGCCAGCGATCCCAAGCTCCTGCCCCCTGTGACGCTCGGCCCTGCCCGGCTCTGGTATCAATACCGGGGAGATCGAAACGGTCTCGCCATGAGTAGGTCCTTCGGGGACACGGCGGTGCACGCGGTGGGAGGAACGAGTCAACCCGAGGTGATGGAGTATCTCGTGAAGGGCGGGCGGAGCGAGGGAGGGAAAACATGTATCGGGAGGGAGGAGGAGGAGGGAGGGGAGGGCGTGATGCATGAGAAAGGGATGGAGGTCGAGGACGAGGAGGACGCATTCCTGATTCTTGCGAGCGATGGTCTGTGGGACGTTGTAGATAACCAAGAGGCGGTGGAGATTGTAGATAGGTATGCTCGAGCCTCCTTTCGAGCGGGGGAGAGGAGGGAGGGAGGAGGAAAGGTTGGAGGATGGCAGCCCAGGAAGGCAGCAGCAGCCTTGGTCAGCTTCGCCAGAAGCCGTTGGGAATATTTGTCGCCGCTGTCCATCGATGACATTACTTGTGTGGTCGTGAGACTGCCATCCCCCAGAGAAAGAAGGTGAAGAGTGGTGAAACCGAGGAAAGGGGTATTGAAGAGATCGGCTGTAATGAGTACCTGCCCGGGTCAGAGGCCGGTGGATCCATCTTCCTTTGAGGCGTTGGTGGGTAGGAGAGAAGAAAAAAGGGGAATTGGAATGCTCCGCCTTTTGACACATAATACCTGTGGATAGAAGGATGAAAGTCCATTCGGACGATCCTACTTGTTTGAAATTCATCAGTAAATTTAGAGGTATTTCTAATAGAAACCTCGATAGCGGCGGTACAGGAGAAATTGACACAAGGTGCAAGTCCCAGATTCGATGACTGTAGAAAACAAAATTAAAAGTGGTTTCAGCCATGAGAAGAGCGTGTGTATGATGATAGAATGCTGAGGAACACGGAAAAAATGTGAAAATGTGGTGTCAGGGCGCTTGGGAAAGGAAGCCGTCGAGAGGAAAGGTTTGCAGACGTGAGTCTGCTTGCGGCTAGAGAGTCCGATGCCCGGACTCAATCGTACGATGCATGTAAAAAAAGACGAGCAATGCGAAAAGTGCGGCAAGCCGTTGCTCGAGAAGAGGTAGGATCAGGAGGAGGCCGTATAGAGGGCCTGGAAGAAAGCTTCGTCCATGTTTGTGTTCGCATGTCAAGCAACGCAGAAGTGCGTGGGAGGAAGAAAATCCTTGTGGACACGTTTTGTTCCAAAGGATAGGATGGAAGACGGCTCACTTACGAAAACTGCATTAGCAACGACGAATGAGAGGAATGCTCGCTCTTCGTTAGCATCCCTATGGAAGAAAACAAAGAATCACCGGTAAGACTACACTGTCAGTGAGGCTTTACATTGCGCAGATTTTTAAATGTCACATGACCGGTCACTGGCCACCATTGCCATCCTTCCCTTCCTCTTGCCCTTCCTCTCGTCCGGTCTGTGTGCCTTCCCCAACACGAGAATGATCGACATCCACGGCCGTCACGTTCCATGCATCACTTCCTGTTCGGCCCCCGCCTCCCCGTTCTCCTTCCTCTTCCGCTTCCTCCTCCCCTCTTCTTTCCCTTTTCCCTCCCCCCCGCCGTCTTCTTCGCCGTCCTCCCCCTTCATCTTCCGGCACAAGGCGTCCAACGACGCGTTTTCCATCCCCACCAATACCCGAGCATCAGCCGCCCAGCCCAACCGCATCGCCCGCCAGCAAAACACAGGCTCGTGCCGCGGGTGGTACTCCTCGTCGATGCAGGCCTCTGGGTCCTCTGCCTCTTCCATCCGGGGCCGTACATAGTTCTCAAACGTCCGCCCCACCGCCTCCCCCACCTCCGCCTCCACCTCCGCCAAATTGACGGGGCGCGGCACGGGCAAAGGACGCCCGTAAAACGCTTTCTGTTGCTGAGCCACCACCCCCGACGGCTTTCCCGCCCCCGCCAGGGCCTGCCGCACCGCCTCCATGGTCCGCACCGTCCGGGCGGGGGGCGCGGGGGGCTTCTCAATCCGTGGTTCGCACCGTTGCAAACGTTTCCAGGACAACCAGGCTTGCTCCCGGTGCAAAACCGTGTCCAAAACACCCAAATAGACCGCCCCTTGGGCGGACGTGTTCCGGATCAGTCGCCGGGCGTGCTTGACCAAATCGTTCGCGCCCTTTTTGGGAGGAGAAGGGTTCGGGGCCGGGGAGGAGGAAGCGGGGGGGCTGGCGACCGCGAGGGCGGTGGCCGCCGAGGCATAGTTCAAGACGATGAGGAGCTGTGTTAGGACCTGTGTGCGGATCAAGGGATCATGGAGCTGCAGCCGGAAGAGGCGACTGTTGGTCAAGTATTTGCACCCCAAAAACGCCTCCATGCTCCGCCCGTGCCCGCCCTCCCCCTCGTCCTCCCTCCCTC